GGGGAGGAGAATAATCTGTCGTTGTAGATATTGATACAGTTAGGGCTTCTCAAGACAGATCCACGCACCCATTGACAAGAGTATTCCAGTCGACGGAGAGAAAGAGAAAGAGAATGAGAGAGAGAGAGTAAATTGGCCCAAGTTGCATGTCTTCATCAGTGAAGTATAAAACTATGGCAATCGGGAGAATGAAAGTCTGTCTGGTGAAGAGCGGACAAAGGGAAAAGTCGCATAATTGGGATATTCTTGCTTGACTTGCCATGCGCTTCGGTTAGATACGCCCACAACACAAAAAGATCGACAGCATCCCGCCTGGGCCCTGGTTTAAATCAGCGTCAGCCGGGCGACTGTAGGAAGAGGAAAAAAGGATAGTAAGATGAATGCTTCAAAGTATAGAAATGCTCAAAAGGAGATATTTGACGAAGTCCCCGATGAATAATCGTGAGTCGACTTTCCATTTCTAAAGAAGGGTTGAAAGCGATTGGTAAATTAATCTCGCCGAAAACCGAAGAAGGAGAATGCCTCAGAGTGAAGACCGTTGGCTTATCTTCCAAGAAGACCTCAGCTCACCGTTCTGCGACTTCCAACAACCAGTGCCAAGCATTCGTCTGTACCGCCGTGACAGACAGCATTAAAGCAAGAAAGCATACTTTAATAACTGGCGGACAAACATACCAAAAAGGCATTTTTTTCATATTACATTCTGGGGTTGGATTTTTGATAAAACAAATTGTATCTACTATAGCATCGAATACATTACTTATATTTCCTTTATAAGTACGTTTTCGAGACTACCAGTAGATCATAAAAGGTGTTGAGCTCATTTCGTTTCGGGTTAAAGTGTTGGGTGAAGATTTTCGAAGGTAGATTCTATCAGAATCCGAGGGCGGATTTTTCTTGACCAGTTGTCGATTGGCTTCACTTGAACATTCTTGTTGACGATGTTTTCGGGGTAATCTCCTTCAAGTCCTGTGAAAATATGCTAAGCTTTCGTCCGTCGTATGACGAACATAATCTTTACAACCATATTTAACTATATTTCAACATACCAAAAAGGAGAAAAGATGGCCAGCCGCAGCCATAGTCCCTTCTAATGCCTGGATTTGCTATCTCAACGAGGCATCTGATGGTTTAGCTGAGGTGCATTCACCCTATTTCGTTGAGGGCGATTAAAGGACTGATAGGCGAATTTTCCCACAATTAAATGAGTAGACCTAACGTTTTCATTGGATTTCACATAGTCTCGCTTTCCCAAAAGGTATTCTCACCCAGGCAGGAGAATACTACAATTTCGATTTTGCGTATGTCTCCTCAGCACCTTCAGTGGTACTCGAAGCTGCGTTGTTGTAATGCAATATATGATCTGCAGATGATAACCACTACACCAGACACAGGACAAATGTGACTTTCAAGAAATGCATGGGATTTTCCCATAGCACCTTCAGCTATAGGATTGTGATAATGCAAAGATGTATTAGCATTAGGAATCTACCATGTTACTTATTTTCATTTATAAGTAGATTTTCGAGACTATTCTTAGATCATATGTACGAGATGTATTAACCATATTTCATTTAAGGGGATAGATAAATAAGGCATACTCATGATATTGTGGGTAAAGTTGACAATATATATATATATATATAAATATATATATATAATCCTTATCTGGCATCTTTTGTGAGGTATAAAGCGATTTGGTTAGTTCCAGTCATATGTCAACACCAACGCATGTGAATGTGTCTGTCTCTGTATGTGTATGTGCCTGTATGTGTTCGCATATGCACGAAAACAGGAGTGATGGCTCAAAGTAATTAAGAGATTCCTCAAAAGCAAACTTTTTTTCATACATATAAGGTGTATTAATCCAATTTTGTTTAGGGATGATTTGGTTGGCTACCTCACGTTTACTCTTCATGTTTGCAAATGAGTAAAAATAGTTGAGGAAGAGGCAACGGAGGCGGTGGCAGCTGTTTCTTGACATAAATACTAGTACATATTTCATTTTCAATGATAAATTGTATGAGCAAACGTGGTGTTTGCCAATGAGATCCTATTTTAGCTGATAGCTGCATAATTCCATTAGAGGTTGATTTGCTTAATGAGGCACTCTCAGTTCCACAGGAATTGGATAGTTGTATGGACGATTAGTTTGCTGTTTGGCAATACGACAGGGACAGATTAGAGGAATCCTTTGAGATAAGGAATGGATTAGATGGCATTACTAAAGTTATAATGGAGTGGGAAAGGGAGTATAAACTGCTATTCCTGCATGTATTAGTGAGCAAAGAAAGTAATAAGTTGGCCAGAGAGGTGTATGGGAAACCTACGCACACAAATTTCTTTATTAATTTCTTATCCAGTCATACTCGCGAGGTTGAAGTAGCAGTTGTGAAGACAATAATGATAAGGAATCTGTGTCTGGCAGGAAATGGGTAGATTGAGGGAAATACCATTAAGGTACATAAATTGTTATTTAGGGCGGGATAGACGGATGGACCATTCTACAAGATTGTTTGATGCACCTTCCTGTCAGCTTGCGAAAGGAATGAGTGACCTACTGAGTAAGTGGAGCATAAGAAGAATGTATAAAGAGATAGATATAAGTGGTTTGGTTAATTATCTTTCATACTGATCCTGTTACTTTTGCTCGACTGAATGCATATTTGTATGTGAAGGATATTAACTTTAGAGAGAGCCAATTGGTAAGGTAAAATGTGGATTTCAAGGAAG